TTCCTTATTTCCGCCTGTTTCGCGGCCAACTCGCGCGGTTTTCGCATGCGGAACTCCTTACGTTCGATTCGCTCGCCGCGAACAATAGTTTCGTTTCATCGCCGCGGGAATCAGGGCCCCGAACGAGGTAGCAATTTCTTAGGGGTTCTAGGTACATCGCTTCTCGCGAGTCGTTAGCCGGATGAAGGTCTGGGTCTGGGTTGCATCGGTTTCATCGACTCGCGGATCCGTGGAAAAAGGTTCTCCCGTTGAAGATTTTTCTTCCGCCATCCGATTATCGAGTTACCTCGAAGTTTCTTTAATCTCGCTCCGACAATTTCAGCGGTTCCACTCTAAATACCCCGCAGCGATTAATCCCTGACCAGAAGGTTTAATAGCAAACATCGCGCGGCAGAGTTAGCGGAGCACGAGTTCATAACGTTTCGAAGTTCCTGTCGATTTTAATTAAAACGATTTCAACGAGGTTCACATCTGATCGCAGCGGGGATATTAAAAGAGATGGGAAGCTACGTCTGATGAAAATGCTCCAGGCGTTCTGTCAGTCGTCTCTGTAAAAGGATGAACGAGTTCTCCCCTTTTTTCAGGGATTCTTCTCCACGCCAACTTCCCTCGTGAATCAATTTCTCGCGATCGCTCGCAACTATCCTCCGCCTCGAAACTTTCGCCCGATCGTCATTTCAATTTACCGCCCCTTTATTCGCATGGAAAATGGTATTAAAATGGCGATCGAACCTGGTTACCTTGCCGTATCGTTTAGCTTGCGAATTTATTTTCCTTTGCTCGTCGCAAATTTCAACGTCGCGTATACACGATCGATTTTAAATATTTTGTTAGAAGGTTCGCGTTATTTTGTTACGACCCGCGAGTTGGGGGTATCGATGGACATTCGTGATCGTGGCTATCGACTGCCACGACCGTGATTATACTTTATTTTATTTATTTTACGGGAACGTCGGGGCGGCCCGCGTGCGAATCTGACATCTGCTCACACGCGATGCAAATACCTTCGGGCCATTTTTTCGCGTTACACAAACCACTATCGATCGATGGCTAAGGAAACCGGAAAAACCGAGACGGGACGCTGAGCGAGCGCATTTTCGCGAAACGCAACGCGCAAACCGCAGACAGTACTCGTGCTTAGATCAGGTTTATCGTCGATTAAACCGCGGATGCACGGGCGTCGTATTTCTTATCTAACGGAGATAAACAATCTTTGATGGATTTATGTTTGCGCCAGGTTAAATGGAAACTAATTTGATTAGCCAAGATAGAGCGTAGATAATGATTTTTTCAAATGGCAGATTCGAGGAACAATTCATGCTACTTAAACGATCCTTTCTGTTTGCGAAGCGATAAACCCAGACACGTTCCCTTCGCCATGATACACTTTTATCGCGGAATTTGCTCGAATTTGCAGCACAAGGATTGCGCCATATTGCGCAGCGTGCCTGGTCCGCCGTATGAACGCGACGGAACGGCGTGTTTCACCGTGAAATGCTCGGGATAAAGTACGTTCGTAAATTGTTAAATTAATTAGAAGCCTGTTGGCCGGGTACGCGTATCGCGGAAATTCGCGTCCAGTCGACGGACACGCCGGATCCATCGGATTTTTTCGTCCTTTTCGACAGCCGCCTCGGCTGGAAATTAAAATCTCCACGAGGGCATCCGATGTTCTGGATACGAGCTGCAACGCAGAAATAATGATGTCGCGCGCGAATCTGCCAAGTGAATGAAACTTTCGGAATGCGAGTGCGTTTTTTGCCAATTCGCCAGCCAGATTCGAGCATACGCTGCTCTCGATCCTTTTGCGCGAATATTTTTCCTCCGTTTTTCCCCCTTTTTCTTCCTTTCCCATCCGATATTCCTGTTTTTCCTCGCCGGCCATTAACTCTTAATGGAAGCTATCGATTTTTCCCCGAACTTACACGTATGTATCTATTATTCCTTTATTTTCCTTCGGTCGATCGATCGCCCAGCTAACATTTGCTCTCGATGGAATAATCGAAGGCACGTAAAATCGTGGAAAAGCAATTAGCATCGATTTTCTCTCGTTCGAATTAGCGGCGCACGTCTGTGGCCGATAGCCGGGTCGTTCTTCGCGCGAAATTTGCATATACACGCGCATACACGGTTGTCGCGGATAATTAGCGAAACAAACGAAAGAGAACGGTTACGAACTCGATACATCATTCGTTGGAACGAGTTCTTTCGTTACTCGCGAAATCAATCGAACGAACGCTCGCGGATCTAATTGCAGACATCCTGTGCACGGCTCGCTTCTTAATTGATTAATGGCGGACCTAGCTGTGTACAAGCAATCGTAGACGTTTTCAGAACGAGTCGGTATTTTAATTGAGATAAATACGTGTTAACCGTGCGCCCGGATCGCCACTTCCAAAGGTAGACGTAATTACAAACGACTGGATCGGTCGGTACCCGCCATAATATACAGGCTTTATCACGGGGAGCGATCCGCGGATGATTATTATTAATTAGCCAGAACCTCGTAATTGCACGTTTCTACCGGCTGCAAATCCACTCGGTGTATTCTCTTTCTCTTTCATTATGTTGAAATATATTTACCCTCGTCGGGGGCATTAATCACGGAAATCACCGTGCAAGGAGCTCGAAACGAAGAAACGAATCGTAGTGGCGATTGTGCCCGTGCCGCAGTGGATCTCTCGCAGGTAAGGAAACGGGGCAAGGTAGAAGCACTGGATATGGTAAATATATCGTAGGCATCGAATCGTTTACGAGATAATATCGTAACGGTACCGTAATTACCGATTAGGCTCGTATGCGCCACGCGAAGGAAATTGTGTAACGCCCCGGGTTTTTTTTATCAATGGAGATATTATAGGAAATAAATAGAGACGCATTGTCGCGTGAAATATCGATATAAAATAGAAATCGAGCGATTTCAGCCCGGCTCGTAACGATGCAATTTCGCTGAAAGGGTCATCGAGCAGGGAGAAAATGGACGAAAATGTAATGTTTCCACTCGGGTAGACGCGACTCGGCGCGACAATCTTGCTGCTGGCGATACTCGGATATTCCCTAAAAAGCGTTTATTCGAAGCACGCGTGAAACAGCGATTAATCGCAGCTTTTAAATTAGAGGGAGCCGTGTCGCTCTTGCGACAGAGAGGACTAATGGATGGCTGGCATCGGGTGTAGTTTTGGGAGGATTTGGCGATGAGATGGCGAGAAACTATGGCCCCGAGTATCGGACAATCGGGGTTAAAGTTGCTAGTTACCGGGCTGCCTAAAACCGTGCATTAATCACGGCATTAGAAAGTTCTGGTATCGAACGGAGCGAACCGATCTCGTGAACCGGAGGCGCCTTCCTCGCGTTCGAACCGCTCGATTGCTATGTCGAGAAGGATACGACGCGACGAGGCGAACACGCGAATCTACTTCGCTTACGGAACGAATCACGCGCGTATCGTGCAACGGACAAACGAATTCCGAAGTTCTCGCCGTTGAAATGAAGCGATATCGCGGTTGCGTAATCGTGACGTTAAGGCCGAATCGGCGAAACGATCCCGGCTTTTCTACGACATATTTATCGGTACGATCACGCGATCGATTTTGTAGGTCGATGCATCCGGGGTGCCGCGGTAAAACGAAAGGCATTAATTCTACGATTGCGCGTAAAGTATCCGTGACTGTCGCGTTTATTCGTCGAACTTATTAATTTATGTCACGCAGCCGGGCGCCAGAAGTTGAGTTACGGTACGTTCGCACGTAAGGAGAACCCGCGATATCGGGCCTCGTACGCGAACGAAAATATAAATATCGTAATACTCGCGAGAAACGCGTATCGAATCGCTGTTGCGTAATCGTCGTTCAACTCGAACGTCGTCTTTCCGATACCGAGACATGACCGACGAAAATAGATCTGTCGCGAGCAGGGTGTGGCCCGCGAAAATGGATTTTACGCTTCAACCTCGGTCCCCGAGTCGTGCACGATTATTATAATTTAAAAGGACACGCACGCTCGGTAAAAGCTTCGACTGCGCGACAGTATCGAGCGTGTTGGGTAACTGCGAGAAATTACGCGCGCGTGTTGCAATCAAAAGATATTCGCGAGACGATTCCGGAGATGCTTCGATGCGTCTGAATAACCACGACGTTGTACGTGTATACGCGCGTATGTACAGCGACGTCGATACGTAATGCGACGCAGAAGGGTGAATATCCTGCAAAGCTTATTCCGAGAATAATCGTTTGACCCGTCTACCGGAGATACCCGTTTTCCAATAATTTAAACCGCGTGCACCGTGTAATTTACGATCGATCCGAGGGACTTTATTTTCATAGCGTAATTACAGCAGTTGGAGCGACGATTTAATAAATTGAGAGTCCGTTCAGATATTAAATGTCGTAAAATTACGCGAATGCGTACTTCCGACCGTGCATCGTCCCAGCTTCGCTGTTTACGCTTATACGAATCGGAACGTCTTTCCAGGTTACGCTGTACCGAGCAGAAACTTCAAGCACGACGCTGAGTAGTCGCGATATCGATTATAGATCGTTCGAATGTCGCGCGCCTGCGCGATTCTACCGCACAGGCGCACAAGTTTGGCGGTGCGCGCATGCGCCCACCGAACGTGCCTACGTGCTTCCATTTCGCCAAAGGTCACGGTTGTTTCGTACGTGCGACCGTTTCGCGTATTCGTTTCTACGCGAGTCTATTCGATACGTCGCAGTTACTTTGTTCATCGAACGCTTCGTGTTCGATCCTGTGGTGTTCCGCGGTATTTAGTGGCGAAACGATTTCGGAATCGCGTGGCAACGCACGTGGAAGTTTATAGGTTACTGCGTCGGTGAAACTACGGTCGCGAGTTTACGTTAAGCGTGCAGCGTTATACGTGACGGGTGTACGTGTACTGTTTAGTGGCCATTGACCTCCATAAAGGTAAACGTAAGACTGAGCTTCCTTTATACATCATTGGCTTCCGAATGGCAATCGAGCTAACGATAATTCTGTTTGCCTAGGGCTTCCAGCGTCCGCGGACCCGATTCGCCCCTGAGCTCGGATCTGGCGCTTGATAAGCCTCGCCCCATACCATCACCCAGGTAAGCTACTTTACGGTTGCCTTTTCTCGCCCTTTGAAAGCGAATGAAAAACCTCGACCCCGATTTCCCGTGTAATAAACACGGGTTAATTGGAAAACTTGGCCGGGCATCGTCGAAGGACTTTGTTTCTCACGGTCGAGGCTGTTAATCTTTCCGAAGGGCTTCGACCTACTTACGCTAGGAGTGGGGGGACGCCGTGATACGTATCAATAGGACGGTGCTCCGAGCCTCGCTTCGAGGATTTCTCGACCGACGCGCGCAGTTGTATATATAGATATACGCGTCGGGTATTTCGTGCTCGGTCACGCGAATTAATTTTCAAAAGAGCACAGCTGAGGAATAATACACGAGCCACGTGATCCAATCGACTTCGATATTACTCGCGTGACGTTCCGCGTATTAATCTACTATAATTATAGTTCCATTATGCATCGTATCATTCTCCCGGGTATAGAAAATTCGATCGAATATTCACCGCGCGTGGAACAACACGGGCAACAACTCGGTAACCGTATTAATTCAATTAGCCAAAACTCGACTGGCTCTTGGCCGATTTAATTTCTCCGTATTCCCGTTCCGACTGTTAATAAACCGTAGTTCCCGAAGCGTGCTCGGCAACTTCTATTTTTACCCGTGCTCGTTCGTTTCACCCCCTACCCACCGAGATTCACCCCTCGACGGAGGCTTGACGTTCGATAAGCCTGGCAACACAATATAAACCATTCGCCGTGCACACTGAAACGCCTATTTTATTTCCTCATCGACACGTGATATTTCGAGCCCCCGGCTCTGTCAACTACGACGCAACCGAACCCCCGTGAACTCTTGTTCGCCACCTGACGAGAGAGAAGGCGGCAGAGAGAGGGAGAGAGGGAGAGAGGGAGAGAAAGAGAGATTCACCCGTCGCCGACTAAACCACTTATTATCGAGCATCCGCGTAGCTTTCCTTTGTTTTTCCACTCTTCTCCTTCTTCTCTTTTCTCTCGTTCACGCACGTTTCGCTCTGCCTGTGAGTGCGTCGGGAGAGCGAAAGAGGAGAGAAGAAAGAAAGAAAAGGAGAATTCCGCGACGGGAAGGTGAAAACGACGAGACGCGAGGCTGCAAAGCGGATTCGTAATTAGAGGGCAACCCGTTGCAGCGTCTAATTAAAATATGTTGCCGATTTTCGATAGCGCGCGGATTATTTCGCGGTGGAAAAGGAAACAAGGCGAAACTCGTCCCTGGGATAGATCCGCGTAATTGCGTTAACGGTGCTTTTCCTTCCAGCGACATTTTCCTTTCCTCTTATCGAGCACTCGGAAAATTTCGTTGGAATTTAATCGAGATTTCACGGAAAAATTTATCGTCGACGAAAAAATTCCGATTTCACCGGGAGAGCGTTTTGCAATCGGGAATTCGTACTGCGAACGATTAACGTGTGGGATTCAGCGAATTGGGCGGGGGGCCCCGTTTACACGTTCTGGTTGCCGGTTAGCGTTGTTCGGTGGATCTGTACGAGCATTAGCTCCGAAATTCTCCTGGAAATATTTGCACGATCGTTTCGCGTGGTCGCATCGTTCGCATAACTCGTCGTGCTATTTGTGTCCATTGGCCCGGGTTGACCTAGTGCGAGCGGGTTCATCGCGAAATAGTTCCGTCGAATGTCAGAGTTCGGCATGGCGAGTCAAGAAAATTCTATTATGCCTCGGAATATCGAAACGTTTGCGTCTATCCCGGCGAAGCTTTCTCGCATGACTCGCCGCGAAATTATTAATCGACTTACGTCCGAGAACTTCATTCCGAGACACGTTCCTGGTCGAGTTATCGCCACGTATCTGAGAAATTGCGACGCCAAAATATTCCAGTCTAAAAACGAACATCTCGATAAAATGTCGGCGGATATAAACGATACTTTCTCGCTCGCGGGGCCCGTGAAAAAGGAAAAAGAGAATAATAAAACGCGACACAGGAGAGATAAACGCAAGATTTTACGAGATCTCGCGAACTTTTCGTCGCTCTATTTCGAGTCGGGATCGATGCCGCAATTTCTTCCTCGTTGCTTCGAATTTTATGCCAGCTCGAATTTCGCCGGAGACTTTTACGATGATTCGGTGTAAATGATAAAAAGAGGCTCGGTACGCTGTTTAAAACGCGATATCTTAGGTGCATCGTTCTTTTTATTAAAACATAATACCGGTGCGGGGAGAGTGGCGTCGATTTTACGTTCTCTTAAAATGTCCACGAATTCGCGATCGTCGAACGGTGAACCGATCACTCGCTCTCTCGTCCACGAAATCCCGATTTCGTCTGCTTTTCCAGTTTCCATAAACGTTTCGGTACCCCGTTATCGCGTTTTTATCGAGAAATTGAACGCGAAACTCGGCGATGGAAAATGGCCCTTTCCGAAACACACGACACATCTCGATCTACGCGGAAGAGAGGGAGAGATATTTAAATTCGCGGCTAATAGCACGGTATCGGGTTCGCAACGCGTGAATGGTTATCCTTATCTAGATGGCAGAAGCTTTCGAACGGACGCGCGTAAGTTTCTCTATACCGACGACCGGTAATCCCGTGAAAATCGATGCCCCATTAGTCGATCGCTTCGTAATTCTATCAAAGCGGAACCCTCGCGAGATTACCGTCGTTGATACGCAAATGCACTCTTCGCATAATCGACTGGCGCGGACGAATAATCAGAGAAATGGCTTTGTCAGCGTTTAAGTTGCTCGGTTAAGTCGGTCAGTTTTCCGGTTGCTCAACGGCCTCTCGTTGCATTGTAACGAGCGTGTAAAACCCGCGTAACGCGTTGGCCGACGTCGGTGAGCGCTTTACGATATAATACCGATCTCTCGTACCCGTGAGAATTGGAGCTGAAGAACCGTGCGTTAGCTGTATCGCTTTATCGTAGAGAGACTTTTCAAATTTCAAGGGTCAACGATTAAAATAATCCGGACGATAAATCGATACGATTCGCGTCGTTTGATATTTACCTGTATCGAAAAAAATAAAATAAAAAAGAAAAAAGATAAAATCAAGTCGGTGGGATAAACTCGACTCTAATAAAGGGTGTAGTGTCGCGAGCTTTGTCCAAAAACTCGCGTACTTCAAACTTCCAAAACTTCAAACTTCGTTTCAAACTCTACCCAACGAAGCGAAGTACCATCTACGTGCATGACTTTAAGGGCAGGGCCAACTTGACCCAGACCCGAGTGGTGCGCGAGCAGGTACACGGCAGGTGACCCGATTAAAAAGCGGATTAACTCGTTACGAGCGTCTAGTCGAAAAAATTGGTCGAAACAGAGAACCACGGTGGAGCCAGGTACGACGCACGTCGCTTTACGCAAACCGTGTGATCTATCCTGACTCATCGTCAGCTGCAGCGGAACGGGCAGACGGAATTAAAGGAGTAAAAAATGTTGCGAAACGTCGCGCGTTAATTCCGCCAGGCATCGCGTGCATCGTTGGCGGCGGTAGCACAGGCTGCAACTTTAGGCTCGTCGTTGCGAAACATTTTTGCTCGCTCGGACTCGCGTTGCAAGAGGCGGAAAAAGCGCGAATCGCGTACGCAGGGCCTTTCCGACCTCGATGCCAGTCGCGCGTCTGCCGTGGAAATTCAACTAGCGGTAACGCAATTTCCTCCGCGTCGTTTTTACCTCATCGGCCGGCACGCCGTCGGTTTTAATCCGTCGCGACCGCATCAAGGAGTCTACTCCGCGATGCGTAATGGAGCTACCGCGTCGGCCATATTTCCGACGCCGCTTTTGTTAACTAATTTGCTCGCGTCGTTTCTGCTTTTATCTTGTTAACTTCTCTCTCCGCTATCTCCGCAGCCGATCGCTCCTCGCTCCAGTTGTCGCTTATCCCTTGTACGTTAACCCATGGAGGATCGTAAAATCGCGCGAAATGTAATCGGTCCTCGTGTTCGCCTTTCCAAGGGTTAATTTGCATTCCGTTTTTGGGAGAAATAGTTTTACACGAATTCGATCGGTATAATCGGATTTACTTTTCTTATATCCCAAGATCGAATACGTTTCAACTATTTGCGCGGGTTTTCGCGGTTCGTTGTCCCCCGCGGCGTGTAGGAAGTTTTATCGGAAAACACCCGGGTAAATAATCCAAATCGTGGACGAGCGATTAAACGCGAGTCGATTTTTAATTTCGTTTAGCCTGACGCTTCGTGGATAAACGTTCGGATTAAAATCCGCGTTCACCTGGCCGCTGCCGTCACCGCCGCGTAATGAATTCGATTGGCCGCGAAATTCTCGTCGCGTGCGAATTATCCGCACCCTCCCCCCGTGAAAATTTGCGATACCTCGTTCGCTCGTGATTCATCGCCGGGCCCGTTACGCGAACCGTTGGAATTCCTCGCGATCAGGCTGCCACCGGAAGCCATCGAGGCTCAGACTCGAGACTCCATCTGGGATCGCAACCCTCGTAACAGCGGCTCATCTTTACCGACTGTTGCAGGCAAATCCACCCCTTGTACGGGGAGAAGGCCGGGCTTCTGGGCTACTGCGACCCGCTCGGTAACGCAGAGAATTTCCCACCAGCCCCGAACATCGTTGTCGAGGGTGGCAGAATCGAGTTTGTGCGCCCCTCGCAGGATGGCACCACGACACCCCGTAGGAACACCATGTCTCGTGGCTCGCAGACCTTCAACGATGAGTCCGAGAAGTCTGACCCTGCGAAGGTAAGTCGATTTTTTCCTTTTCCATCGGTCGTTCACGCGGTCCGTTTTGCTTCGACCCTCGTCCAAGCTTCGACCACTCGCTCGGACAGGACGGAAACGACCGGTCCAACGAATCACCGAGTGGCTCGCACTCCCGAGGACCACCGTCGAATTCGCCTCTTTCGTCCTGGTGTAAACAAAACGAAGATGTCGGAATCTCGGTTGGATAAATAGAGGCCGACCGTGCCGCGGCTCACGTCCGGTTCCGCGAGTCCGTGAAACGGCGTCGAGCGTGTGCTTGTAACGCGCTGCTCGAAATAAGCCGAGGATCAGCTGTTTAAATGACTTTTGTCGCTCGGTTAGGAGGCAAATATTTTAAGAGCTTTGACGAGAGCGAGCGGGATGAACGGGACGCTTTCGAGAGAGGAGCTCGAGTAGTTTTGCACGCGAAAACAGTTTCTTCTTCTTCTTTTTTTTCTTCTTTTCTCTCTCTTCTGCGAGTGCAGTTTTATTTTTAAACGATCGACTTCGCGAATGTTTTTGCCCGAGAGTTTTTAATTACATCGCAATTTCGTTCTGTTCCTGGGATAAAATTCTGTTTCGAGAGTAAAATTCTGATGCACGCGCATATATCGAATGAAATTTTGCATAAGGGAAAATATATCGCTGCGTGTCACGCGATTTTCGGGCAATTAATTCGAAACTATTAATTCGAGTGTAACAAACTTCGTAACGTTGTTATCGCAGTTAATGCTGTAACCGGCTTAACGTTTAAAGTCCATTAGCCCGTGCCTCGCGAAAGGGTTGATTCCTCTGTAATTTTTAATTGACGTCACGTTTCTTGATGCAGTTCTTAATCCCGTTCGTAGTTCGACAAATCGCGTTTCTTCGACCCACTCGACGATGGATTCGGTTAGCCGCGTTTTCCATGGGGTTGGAACGCGCGTTGATTTTTGTTCGACTCCCTTAAACCCTTCATGTTGTATTCATTAGACGCGACCATAATGGAATAAGTCGTAACGCGCGAAATACTTTGGTCACCGTCTGGCGACGGTTTACCGACGCAGTTGAAATCAGCGTAGCTCGTTAGTTTTTGGTTGAAATATCGCGTTAAATTTTTCTGTCTCCTTCTCTCCCTCTCCTCTTCTCTTTTATCAACCTTCCTTTGCTTTCCGACTGATGCGCGTTAATTATATCACGCTGTTTACATTTGGACAGAACGCATTCGCCGAATTTGGAGTATTTATAATTCGGGGTATAATGGAACGAACTTTTTTACGAGAATTTTCCCATAATCCGTCGGACCGGGTGTAATAAACAGGAAGGGAGGGAAATATTATTGTTCGCCGTTTTATTCGCTAACGAAATATCAGGTATCCCGGGGGCCACGCAGCCGGATTTGACGCGCGATTTAACCCCCGAATCGCAGCCCGAAATTCCTTTAATTCGCTTTAATTGTCCGATTAGCTAGCTCATTTTATTACCGCCTCATTGGCAAAGTGGTCACGTTTAATCGAACGATCTTCGCAACGCAGTGGCGGCTGGCGCGATAGTCGGCTGGAAATTTTCACCCTGTTCTTCCGCGGCGTCGCCCGAACGTCGCCCGAATCCGGGGGAAAAGTGCGCGCGGATTCCTGCCAAACCCTTTAACCCTTCATGTTGTATTCATTAGACGTAATTGATTTTCTCGATAGGGCGTAGCAGGATTTCCATATTAAATTGGAGCGAGCGTTCGCGACAGCGCTCGCTCGCTCGCTCGCGTCGATACGCCGCGATTATTCCGAAATTAACGACGTTTCGCGGCGTGTCGCGCCTCCGTCGTCGGTAATTCTAACGACTTAACCCTTTGTTCGCGTCTCTTCGTTCGTTTCACGGCGTTTGGGGTCAGTCGAGGCGGGGGTGAAGTCGCGTCGGCTCATTCGTTCGCAGGATCCTTCGATCCTCCAGGAGTCTCGTGATTATGGCTACCCGCTAATTAATCGTCCGGATTAATTTAGGAGTAATCGCGATATTCTAAACGCGGAATTCGAGTTTGTCGACGAAGAAGAACGTCGATGATCGGTAGCGTGGTTGTTGTATGGTATTCGGTGGAAGCGATGTTTGCCGAGTTTCGCGCTTCCGTAATTGCAGAAGGAGTTATTCGCACGCACGAGTAGTCGTCCTATTCGTGGAAATTGTTTGAAATTCACCGCGACCAGGAACGTCTCTATTATAAGCTCGCTGTAATCTACAAGTAGCCCGGCACAGCCGCTCACCGTGTTATTTAAACGCTATTCACCGATTCGCTATTCATTTACATCCTCCATAGCTTCTAATAATATTCCACGGATTCCAGCCGATCGTCCAGAAACAATTTACAACGTTAGTTACTTCTTCGCGCCATCGATTCGCGTTAGGTAACGCGGAAAAACGGCTTTAGACACGGTCGAAAGTGTGATGAAATCCCCTTTCCAGCGTGGTCGTTCGACCTTTCGAAGGAGCCCCGGGGACACGTTTCCTGACAAAGTATTAAACTCCTTCGAGGTGTCGTCACGAGGCATTTGCATACGATTAATCAACGGTACAAAGCAGCGCGCGTCGACGTCGGTTCCAGCGAATTCTTTTATTATTATCGCCCGAATGGCGAAATTAGGGCTGGCCCGAACATTTCGCCGCGATCCTCTCTCGCTGCGCGTAGAAGCACGCGCAATTTCGTTTGATGCCAATAACGCGGCGGACCCTTAATTAAGGGGTGGTCGCGGGAAAAATTTCATTTCGGGATGTTTAGAAGCTTCCAGCGGCGTTGATATTAAGTTCCACGTATGAACCCGTTATTAACAGCGCCGCCATTTTGCCGGGCGATTATACCTATTATTACCGTGTCCTTGATTTCATTTCGTCCGGAGCTTAATTCACGCGCGATCGCGTTCAACGCGTATTTTCGAGGGATGACTCGTTTCCTCCACGCTGATAATCGATGATCTATTCGTAGTAGGTTTGTCTACGTGCCTGGATATACGGGGTCCGTTGGAAATTCGTAATGGGAAGGAGCACGTTACGGCTGCGAATTAAGAGACTTTTTACGCGGCAGCCGCGTAGCTAGCGGGAATTATTCGAAGGTTTTTTGCGGCTGGGCGAATTAATTTTAATTACGAGCACCCCGCGGCCCGGGGTCGGATAAAAGAGTAATAAAGTATAGAGAATAAAATAGACTGAAATTCATGCGCCGGTGGAATACCCCTCGGTTTACTTTTATACTATTTCGTAATTATACTACCGCTGCCGTTAACTCGAATTTCGACGAGGCACCGACGGACCTAGGCGGAAGTGCAGTGAAATTACATCCTGTAATCCCTGGCATCCTATCTCTGGCGTCCTTCGCGAATTTCTCTCGCGATTCGACCCCTCTCCCTTTCATCGCGTTCTCTCGATCGCGTTTAAATCGCTCGATGCATTCGCGATGACAGGAAGCGGCCGATTTACCAATCGCGAATAAGTTGTACCAAGTAGTAGCAAGTTGCGTGTTTCAATTAGCGAAATAAATGGCCGGCGATTTCGCGTAATCCGCTGTGTCCGTTACCACCGCGACGAGCGAAAAAGTCGGTGGATATCGGGAGTAAGGATGGAAGAACGTGGTCGTGCAAGGAATAATCGCGGAGAGCTCCGGAGCGAGCCGATGATGCTCATTGACGTGTCCGGCGACTCGGTGGCACACGCGTGAGTGTGTCGCCGTTACGAATAATAATTAATCGCGGCAGGAGAGTTGATTAAGGCCCTATTCATCGAGCGAGAACGTTATAAATCACGCGGACAGTGCCTAGATTGCTCCTACGCGGGCACGACGACGCGTTGCGCAGTTGCGCAAGCGAAATTTCGTGACGAGGCTTTTGTACAACAGCTGTTCCAACTTTTCAACCCCGCGAGAGGAGAAAGCGTGCGAAGACGCGTCGCGTTCGAGTCACGATCGAAACTCATCCGTATCGATACCGAGTTTCTCGAAAAATCGCGACGAGCTTTTCAGGACGAAATAGCCATTCCGTTTTAACGATTCGATCCGTTCGCCGATTTAAATATCGGTCGAGGAAATCCGAGAAGGGAGGAATTATTATGTCGGCGGAAGAGTTTAATTTCCTAAATGCAGCTTTCCATCTCGGAACGTTTTCGGGAAATTAAATAAATCGGAACGATGCGTATATCTATGACGATCATGTTTGCCCACGATGAAAAATCCCTTTTTTCATTAATCGTGAGGAATCATCACGTATTCGATGATCCTATCTGATCTCCGCAAGTCGCCGATTACCGATGAAAATCGAGCCGGCTGAAAGAGATTTTAACGGCTCTTCTAATTTATGCTAATTTCCCACCTGAAACTTTTTATCCGAGATTCAATTAGTTCCGCTCTTTGGTCCTCGCGATTAACATATTCCGCGAGCGTGCGGGACTCGCCAGGCGGAATCCACGAAATTCCGCGTTTCCCGCGCGATTTTTCCGAGATAACCGTTCCAGTTTCTTCGATTTTCGAACTCGCGAAGTTTACGAGCGCGTCGAGTAATTCGATTAATCCCTCGACTCGCGAGAGGCTACGCTTTTGGCATAAATCAGTTCGCGTTCGGCTTATCGTATAGCGTGACACCCGCGCGCGGATTTTTAAGCTCGCTTTATCGCCGATCGAGCACCGTCGTAAACTCGAGCTCGACGCGAGTATTTCAATCGGTATTTAACCTTTCGGATCGCGCTAGGATCGCGACTTGTGTCTAAATCATTTCCTCGGGCCCAGTGTCGATAAAGTTGGTCGCTTCGAAGAGTAACGAGTCGTAAAATGGCGGAGGGATTTCTCCGATGTATTTAAATTTATCGAAACATCACGATCGGTTATTGTAGCAATTTTTCTCCCGTCCTAATCGCAGATAGTTCGCTTTGCCGAGTAAAATCGGCGCGATCGGTAACGAAAGTTCTGCCAACTTCTCCGGAATGCTTTCTCCTCCTCGGTCGAACGAAGAAACGGACATAATGGATTACCCTCGCAACTTTCCACGGCG